CTGCCACATATGGTACTGTGCCCCTGCTATTTAACTTGAGCTCCTTGATAAAATCCAAAGAAGAATCAGCAATGCTATTGGTCCTGATCTGGCTGCACGGCTTCAGTCACTTTCCTACTGCCGTTGAGTTATTTCTCTGTGTGTCTTTTCTGTAAATACTTTCATGTTAATTGTGCGAATGAGTTCGTCGCTGTGGTACCTTGACTTTTTGAATTTAAACGCAGTACTAGACTGGCATCGTGAGCTCATCAATTTACAGTTGAGCTGGTTATATGTGACCGTAAATTTTATGTAAACAGTTTTTTTTTCTTTGTGGAACACGCTTCCGGTTCAATGTTTTCCTGCCAACTTTAATCTGCAAAAATTAAAATACAATATCAATGGCTGCCCTCTTCCCGCTCATTGTTAACGTTTCTGTTCTGAATTCTTCCACACCCTGTAATCCCTTATGCCTTAGTGGCTTTACTGTCTTGTGATTCTGATTGAAAAATATACAGAAAATTCTAAAAGAGAAACGAACTAATTCGATAACAAAACTAACTTTACAATCACTGCACTACGGCAGGAACTTTAGAATTCAGAGAAGGTAGTTTTCAGATGTCTATTGTATCTACTTATTTTTTTTACATTCTAAGTGAATCTGGGTTCTCAGAAATCAAGATCTGTTTCTAATAGAGGGGATAGTAACGCATGTCGATATGCCAAAGGTTAGAGTTTGTCGGATTAATATTTGTATTTCCGATTGGAAAATCGAAAAGCTATTGAATTACTTGCATTTCAAATTCCCTGAGAGGATGGTGTATACTTAGATTCTTTGTTGGTTCCACCCGAAAAGCGACTTTTCAAGTAGTTTTACCATTGCAAAGAAAGAGATTCCGGCGGCCTTGAAGAATTTGTTCGACACTGATCGGAAATCGATCAGTGGCAGATTAATAGGTCGAGTCATAAAGTCACTTTATATTGATTAAGAGCGAAAAAATTAAATAAGGAAATATATGCATATTTTTTATTTTTTTAAAAAAAAACTGTTTATATATTATCAACGAGTTTTCATTTTTTTTTTAAATCTATAAACCCTTTTTTTTTTTTGCTCTTTGTGTATTTTGATTTTTCACTCAGCTTCCATCTTGCCACTTTTCTTGATCAAACTTCACGATGCATTTTTGTCTCCTCCTCATAACAAACGTTTTGAAATAGGGATTTTTATTATCTGTTTCTTTTTGTGTGCGTAAATTTTTAATTCATTTTCTTTCCAGGCTTTATATTTTTTTGTTACGAAAATTATGTTTTTGGTTATCGTTATTGATTGAAAATGAAGTTGAGATGTTTTGTTCGTTTAAAATGGTGATGTCTTAAAAGGAAGTAAATAAAAAAGGAAGGAAAAAAACGAAGATAGGGACGGGGAATAAGAAAGGGAAAGAGCAGAATGTGGCGAAGAAGGGGAAAAAAAGAAGAAGAAAAAAGACGATAGTGAGAAAAAAATGAAAAAAAAATGGAGGATCGAGAGTAACGAATGAAACAACAACTACTACTATTACTAAAAATAATAATAATGATGATGGTGATAATAATACGGGAGAGAAAAAATAATCAAAGAAAAAATAGTAGAAGAAAAAGAAGAATATAGTTGTGAAAGAAAGAAATTAAATCAGAAAGAAATACTGAAAAATATTGTATCACTGGTGGTGGCTGACAGCTCATATCCGAATATAACCATTTACTAAGGTAGCTAGCCAATCCCTGTTGCAGGCACCTGCTCATGCATATTTGTGTTTATTCAACACCCACACAGCCTATATGTGGTTTATACAGCAAATATGCTGAGCCGACCTTAGTTCTAATTTCTGGGAGAGATCGTATTATCTGGCGTGACTGACAGTATGAACAAGTCCAATACACTAAAACCCTCGGTCACGATGACTTGTGACTTCGTGCTAGCTCAACCATAGATGACTCCGAAATTGTTCCGTCTATCCAGTTTAATTCAGAAGGCTTGGGTCAATCTGTGGCAGTGTTTTCAGGCACTTTTCAAATCAAGTCACCTTCCTGATAAACTGACCATGGTGAGATTCGGACCCGAGTCTAATGCCCTACTAGCAGAATTAAATATTTAAAAAATAAAAGTATATTTACGTTTAAGAAAATAAAGCATAAATATAAAAGAAAGAAAAAGAAAGACAGAAAGAAAGAAAGAAAACATTCTAGTGAAAATACTATCGAAAGAAGAAGAAGAAGAAGAAAGAAAGAAAGAAAGAAAGAAAGAAAGAAAGAAAGAAAGAAAGAAAGAAAGAAAGAAGATGAAAAAGAAGAAAAATAAGAAGAGGGGGAGGAGGCAGAGAATTAGAAAAAGACGATGAATAAGAAGAAGAAAAGGAAAAGAAGAAGAAAAAGAAAAAAGAAGAAGAAAAATAAGAAGAGGGGGAAGAGGCAGAGAAGATTAAAAGCCAGGGAAAGAAAACATGAAAAATAAGATATGGAAAAAAAAATGAGTATTAAAAAA